GCCTTTAACATTTAACCTTTGATGAAATAAATTATAAGTTACAGATCCAGGTTGATTTCTTTACCACTAAGCACATAACTTGTAATTTAATTCTAGCAATCCCTTAATTTCTTATAAAAGTCATCTGAACCATAATCAATTACTGAACCTTTTTACCGTATTCAGATCGAGTGTAGAACTTCATTAATTACACATATGAGACCAGACATTTACATTCATGCATTTACCAATACCAACATGTTCTATAAAGCATAAAGAGGTAGTAAAGTATTACCTCGATTTCCGTGCAATACTGATCGACCATAAAAATTCCATTCGAACGCCTTTGATCTTCAATTCAACTTCCAATAATTCCTCAGATACATATCAACATAAATTATATCAGAAACGGAGCTTAATTACGATAAACGGATCGAATCGGGTGATAAATCAGTGAAAGACGGCTTACCGAGTTCGAATTTGGCGAAACGGACTTCGGATTCGGATTCAGGACGTCGAAAGCATAAAATATGACTTTTCGGAAATTTGGAATTTTTGGTCAAAATCAAAGTCAACGGGTTTGACTGACAATTTCGAGGCCTTCGGGTTCGAATTTCGAAAAACGGACAGTGGAATCGGATTTGGAACGTCGAAAAATGTCAGGATAGGTATACTCGGTCGAAGTCAAAGGTCGTTTAATGCCCGATCAAAGCCAGTCAAAGTTTTGGTCAACAGTGGTCAACTCCGGTCAACGGGTCAACGGTCAACGGGTCGGGTCAACTGGTCGTGTCGGGTCAACGGGTCGGGTAAACGGGTCGGGTCAACGGGTCGGGTCGGGTTGTGACCGGTCAAACCGGTCAAAACAGTTCCAAAACCGGTCAAACCGGTCACTTTGGCGGCGCGTGGGGGCGCGTGAACAGTGATAAAATCCCGGAAAAATTTCTAAAAATTATTTTGAGCGATTTCGAGATACTTACAAAGCTCGGTTCACAATTTTGAACGGCGGAGAGCTCGATTTCAACAAATCGGGAAGTTTTACCGGTTCACCTCCCAACGCGCCGCCGCCGCCGGAGAAAAAGGAGAACACCGGTGGACTCGGAACGGCACAAGGAACACGATGATGCGGGAGGTGTCGTAAACGGATGACCCGATCGTTGTGAATCGATGAAAAACCAACTAAAACTGAGTTATTACCGACGATACTTCCGACTGAAATTCACGACGAACGGTGATGATTCACGACGAAAGGTTTGTGGGGTTTTGTTCCTCGGTTGACAACGAACACGATGGTTGTTTCGGCTCGTCGTTTGGAGGTCAGACGGCGAGTAGATCGGAGTTGAAAAAAAGGGTTGAGGGGAAGAGGAAAACTGGAATTTTCCAGAAAAATATGCGTCTGATGGGGTTTATAATATCTCAAAAAGAAAAATGGGTAAACCATGAGTTTAGCCACTGAATTTTCTGCACTTTATGACACGGTCTTTCAACTTTGAAATTTTGCAATTTAATCCTCATTTTCTTCCAAAATACCAATTAAATTTACCACGTTATAATTTCTTAAAATTTAGCCCCTAAATTGGGGTGTTACATTATTAGTATTGAATTATAAGGTTTAGGCTTCTGATATTCGTCTTGGAAATTATGTTTATGTAGATATTGAGCCTAAAAAAATTATGGAACAATTAAAGAATTGGGATCGAATCAAAGCAAGGCTAAGGTGAGTGCAATTTAATTGTACTTACGTTATTGATCAAACATTGGCTTGCGATGAGCCAATGACAGAGTTATTATGGTAAGGAATAATTTCTAAAATGTATGTGATATTTATGTGTACACGAATATATGAAAAATATGATATCAACTATGTGATATGCATGATATGTTATCTTATGTGTTATGTAAGGTATATATGAATATATGTAGTATATAAATATGTAGCACATGATACATGTTATATGATATGAACCTATGTGATTATGTGAGAAAGAATATATGTCTATGAGGAGACATAAGAACAAGGTATAAGATATGTGACATGTGAATATGAATTCATATGAAAAGTGACATGAATTACATGAAAGAAATTACATGATTACAGACATATGTGAACAAAGCTATGAGCTTATATGAATATGTGAAATGATAAATAATAATGCCCATGTTATATGATACGAGAGCTATAGGTATAGTTGGCATGCCAAGGGTCGAGGGTTTCATAGGTCCTTCGGGATAATAAGTGGTCCTTCGGGACAATACAGTGGTCCTTCGGGACAAATTTCATATGCCACTCAGTGAGACTTATACGAGCTGTGGTGACAGCATTAGTGCACAACCTCAATGTACTTACATACCTTCCGTTCTCACCAGTATACCATGGGATAATAAAGAGATAATATCAAATACAATATATATACGATGTTATGTGTGTTTTGTTATGAAATGATATATGTGTTCTATGATGTATATGGAAATGTTCAACATATGCTTATATGATAAAAAGGAATTAGCGATAATGATATGATTACTTATAAATATGTTCATGATAAATGTATATGTGTGCAGTGGTTATACAATGAGAGATATTCTCTTATATGATATGATAGTATTTACAGATGTATGCCTTTTGTTTATATGAAATGGTATATAGTTATACTATATGTTTTATATGCTTCACTAAGTCATCGACTTAGCGTGTGATTGTTTTACACATATGTTTAGAAAGTGAAAAGAAAAGTAAAGAGAACAAGACATGTCAGTTCTCCTTACTGAAGATCATATCAGAAATGTAGATCAAATTATATGTATTTTGTTAGAAAGAATTTAGTTGACATGTAATAAAAAGGATTTATATTAGAAACGCTCTGATCGAGTTTTATAATGTTTTTAACGTATTTATGTAAATGTAATTGCATACCGATGAAAGGTTATATTTTTATGAATTTATACGTATTTTTACGAAATTACTGTAGCAGTGCATCGATGCACAAATTAGATTCAAATTTTTTCACTGTTCATACGATATTGTTTACTGTTCATACCATATTTTACTGTTCATAAAACGTATATTTTCTTAAATTGGTTATAACAAATATAATTCAACAATATATTATCGTATTTTTTTAAAAAGAGTTCAAATATTTGGATATTTTGTAAGAATATCGTTTTTAAAAATCAATGTGACATCTCAAACTCGTATTCGGGTCGGATACGGGTTGGGTGTTACAAGTGGCATGGCATTATGCAGGCTAATTTGTTTACTCATTATTAGGCTATGATTGAGTGTGACATAGGGAGAAAAGTAAAAGCAGAAATTAGTGCAGGCGTGGCAGCATTGAACCCACTAATGGAGCCTTATCCTTCAATATATATATATAAACAGAAATTGGGATTTTAATACCAAAAAGCCAAAAGAGCAGGAAACCTGTCCCTGTTCCTTTCTTTTTCTCCATCTAAGATCATTATACTGCCGGCTTCTGCTGCATAATACTGCACTAAACATGGAAAACGCAGTGGAGAGTAATATACAAGATAATTATACAAAGCAATACGCATATATTGATTAGAAGGTATCAATAGTCGTATAATCATACAAAACAATGAGAAAACGTAAACAACTGATTGAAGTGATCAAGGATGGCATCATCTTTTCCTAACTAGTTTCTTAATGAAAACTTTCCAGAGAATGTATCATTTTCCCTTTGATAGACAACAATCTGGTTTTTCTCGAAATGTCGAAACATTGAAGAGAAACAGAGAGCATCTTTTCAATGCTCACTTTGTGACCTATGCATAAACTAGATAAATGTACATGTGTCTAAGACATAGCTAGGAATGTGGGCCTATAAGCAAGAAAGTGAACTCTTGTTCTAAACCTATTTAGACTTCTTTTAGCAGAAAAAGATGCCGTCTTCTTCTTCGATAATCGTCGAAGGGACATTATTTCAAATAAATATGCATGATAAATCTTATCATCCCTCGTTTCAACTTTCCTTTGCTTGTGGAAATCCTGACAAGCAGAACCATTAGATGTGTTGCTGAATCATCGACACATCCATCCAAATCACTGTACACCTTTCGACCAAGATGACCAACTCTACCATAACCAGTTTTTCATTTTCAAAGTACCAGATTCATGCAAAAAGCAAGGGTTCATATCTATTAGCCAAGAAATGTACGTTTAGTAAATGAGAAACATGTTTTTTGTTTGAGGGGTTGAATTTAGCTTAGAGGTTGAACTACATGTACATGAGAACATAGATCGAGATGGTGAAAATAGTAACTATTCCAGATTTCGTTCAATAGCCAACACCATTGAATCCTTGCTTGCATTTTGACCAAAATTGGAAATAAGGTCATATATCAGGCTAAAAGATTTGAATTACTTGCTAACACCTAGTATTATCTACACAAGCTAAAAAGAAGATAAGAAAGTGAAAATTTTATCTACACAAGCTAAAAAGAAGATAAAAAAGTGAAAATTTTTTCTACACAAGCTATGCTACTATTGAATTTCCCAAGGAATTATAAACCTACCTGTGTTGCCAGTAAAAACAATGGCTACTTTACTTGAATCAAATTATGATGTTGGATTAAGATGCAATTATGGATTGCCATGAGAAAAAGAAAGATGTATAGCAGTAAAAAGGAAGCTCTAAGTGTTCATGAAGAGGAAGGCCAAATGATGCAAGTATATACCAGAAGATTAGACTTGCTTCGTAAGTTTAGGCTTTTGATCATATGAATTTCTAATTGCACAATACGATTGGAACACAATTTACGCAATATGTTAGCTAACAATCTACCAAAGCAATGATTCAACGAGTGCTTAAGATTTTTGCTTTTGTTTGTGAATAACCAGCTAGATGAAATTCTCCTGTGTTCATTAACCTTACTAAAGATGGCTATAACCTATGGAAAATCTCATTTCTGAGCATCACCAGGTTAAGCCATTATTCATGGTAGAAAACAGTGTCTGAGGTGATTCAGAAAACATAGACCAAAACTTTTATGGTAGTCTCATAATTACATTGATTTCAAGGATGTAATAGCAACAAGGTTTAGGTGTATTTTCAGGCTATTGGTAGCATTAGTAGGAAAGCAGAAAGTTTTCTGAGCTAATTCATAAATGAAACACATGCCTTTAGAAGATGAGATAAATTGCAAAGGTATTATTCTAGAGAATGATGAAAGGGCACATGCATTGCCCCATTGCCCTCTATGGTATTCATGGTATATGATGGAGCTTTATGAAGATAGTCTTTACTTTTAATTTTAGCCTAAGATCATCGATGTATATAGGTGCAACACTAGACAAGTTGGAAAAGCAAGAGTGGTGAGAGGAGAGTATAGGGGCTGTTATTTTCATCTTTGTCAACTAACTTTGAAGGGAAAGTATAATCATGGATTCAAAGAGGTATGCCAGTGTTGTTGCAGCCTTGAAAGCCTTTGAGGACACGCACTATAACCATCGATCCTTTGGCCGACCACCAATTTTTCAAAATTATGACAGTCTCTACTACACTATTTAACCCCCAAAAGAACAATATAGTTCTTCAATGGGAGAAAATGGCTACTTATATTCTTCAATGCTTCTGGGGTCTATCCCTTGCAAGTTCACTTTCTTTCGTTCACACAACGTCCACATCTCATGTAATTCTATACCCAATAAAGTGCTTCTTTCTTTTCTTGTCTTCCAGTTAAAAAATGATCTCTATATCTGATAAATCTCTTGTTGCTTATTTAAAAACTGGGTCGTATTGTTTTAACTATGCAGGTTTACATAGTTTATTTAGGGATCAACCAATTTCATGACCCCATCCTTACTTCCAAGTTTCATATTCAAATTCTCTCTGATGTGTTTTCCAGGTTTTGTTTACCATATCTTATGTAGTAAACATGTCTTTTGACTCTAAAATTTCCTCCCTAACTTAAATTTCTTTCAGTGAAGAAGATGCCAAGCAGTCCATCCTCTATAGCTACAGCAATAGTTTCTCGGGCTTTTCAGCAAAGCTCAGTTCATCTCAAGCAACTACCTTAGCTAGTAAGTAGCTACCTTTTCTAATATATATATAAAGCTTGCTAGTTCCTGAAGTAAATTTCGAAGAAATGTTTTGATGTATAGAATAAAATATTGCATGCAGGGATGGACAAAGTAGTATCAGTCTTCCGGAGCAAGACATTAAAGTTGCACACAACAAGAAGCTGGGATTTTCTTGGCCTAACTCTCGATGAAACTCAAGTTATTCCCATGCAGTTCTCTTACGGCCATGATATAGTTGTTGGGATCTTGGATACAGGTATTCAATCAGCATATATAATAAAGTCCTTCATTTATATATACTAAGTTCAATGAAACTCTTTCCCTGCACTAGTTAGTAACTTCATTCTTTATGCAAATGTAAACAGATTATCATGTCTGTCTTACGTGCCTATAATGTCTTTTTTATCTTTAAGGCATATGGCCAGAATCAGAAAGTTTCCAAGAAAAACCTGGCATGGAACCAATTCCATCATCTTGGAAAGGAGTATGCGTTGAAGGAGAAGAGTTTGAACCTGCAATTGCGTGTAACCGCAAATTAATTGGTGCACGTTACTATCTCAAAGGGTTTGAACGAGAGTATGGGCCTCTGAACATGAGCGGTAACCCTGAATATAGATCAGCGAGAGACTTTCTTGGTCATGGAACGCACACCGCTTCCACAGCAGCTGGGTCTACAGTAAAAAATGCAAGCTTCTTTGGCATTGCCCAAGGCACTGCTAGAGGTGGAGCACCTCGGGCTAGGGTTGCAGTGTACAAAGTATGCTGGGGCATGAGTTTTGATGGGATCTGCACTGAAGCTGATATCTTAGCAGCTTTTGACGACGCTTTGCATGACAGGGTTCATGTAATCTCAGCCTCCTTCGGTGTAACACCTCCTTTGTCTCCATTCTTCGCATCAAGTGCGGATATCGGCTCATTTCATGCAATGCAACTTGGTATTACCGTAGTATTCTCTGCAGGAAATGATGGTCCGGAGCCATCTCTAGTCCAAAATGTTGCACCGTGGTCCCTTTGCGTAGCTGCTTCAACTATTGATCGAAGTTTTCCAACTGAAATAGTCCTTGACAGAAACTTCTCCATAACGGTAACATATATGATCTTTTGCCAAAACTTATAATTCCTAAATGAAAATGATTTTTATTAAAATACACAGATTTAGCACAAGCCAGTGAGAATGATCAATACTTAACAAAATAGAAACGGTGAAAAAAATGCCAAAATCAAACATAGAGACAAAGTTCCAAAAAGATAATCCATAATTCTGCCATGATGCCTTTGAGAGTAAAACTGAATACCAAAACACTTGTCAATCTCAATGAACCGATAGCAAGATCATAAGATCAAACCAGACATAGGAAAACCGAGATTAAATCAAATCACCAACTTGCACCAAGCGTTCCCATTATCTACTACATGCACATCGTATTACTTGTACTGATCTAATCTTAATTCCTAGGGACAAAGCATAATCAGCAAAGAAATCAAAGGAAAACTGGTGAATGCAGTCAGTTACTTTTTTGATGGGTAAGTGATATATACTATGTTGTATGCAACAGTACAAAGAGTTAATCATTTGACAAAATTATTCGAGTTGAAGCTCTCTGACGTGGTATTACTACATGTGCTGTATATACAGACTGTGCAGCTTGGGGAATTGGAGACAAAGAGCAGCTACTGGGAGAATAGTCCTATGCTTTTACACTCCAGGACTAGTGTACGAAATAGCACAAGCAGCTGTCAAGAGAGCAAACGGACTGGGTCTGATATTTGCAGAACCCTTTACCAAGCCGATCGCGGATGTTGACGATTTTATCCCTACGCTGCACGTTGACATCAATCAGGGGACTATAATAAAAAACTATCTAGCGGAATCCCCCAAGTAATGAGTTCATCTCGACAAAAAAAAAAACAGATATTATACGTTATATGCATCTTTATTCTCCCTTTTTTTAACATACATACTGTAAATGTCTCAAAATGATTTCCTGCTGTGTTGAATTTAGGCTACCTGTAGTTCAGATATCACCGAGTAAAACAGTCATTGGAAAGTCACCTGCACCGACTGTCGTGTACTTCTCTTCTAGAGGGCCAAGCACAATATCACCCGACATTCTCAAGGTATGTATGACACTAACATTCGATGGCAGAAGTTAATAATAATATATTTGAATTGTAATGTTGTGGCTTTTATATAAATGCAGCCAGACATCACTGGTCCAGGAATCAATATATTAGCAGCATGGCCTCCACAAACTCCTCCAACTTTGCAGCCGTTTGACAACCGCTCGGTGCGGTGGAATTTTCAGTCGGGAACATCGATGTCTTGCCCTCACGTTTCGGGAGTCGTCGCACTTGTCAAATCTGCCCATCCAGAGTGGTCACCAGCTGCCATTAGATCTGCTATCATGACCACAGGTACAAAATAAACAAGGCCAATGGCAATTACATGAATAAATCATTTCTATTAATGGTAATGGTAATGTCAATGTTTTTGTTTTGCTCTTTACCAGCTTATACGAGAGACACAACACATGACAGCATTCTCGCCGGTGGGTCAATGGCCGGTTCGACGCCTTTCGAGATGGGTGCAGGCCAAATAAATCCACTAAAAGCACTTGATCCAGGACTTATTTACGACATGAACACCAGTGATTACATTCCCTTCCTCTGCAACATGGGATACACCGAACAACGAATAAACATGATCGTTCTCCCCTCTCCCGGAGTCGACACCAGCTGCCGGAACGTGCACGAAACAAACGCAAATCTTAATTATCCATCCATTAGCATTCCAAATCTCCAATCCCCCATCACCGTCAAAAGGACCGTAAGAATCGTGGGAGGGCGGAAGACGGCGGTTTATTTCGGCGCGGCCAAGGAACCCGATGGAGTGGAAGTGGTGATTTGGCCAAGGGTGTTGATTTTTTCGCATTCGAAGCGAGAAATGTCTTATTACATCACGTTGAAGCCATTGAAGAAGTCTGAAGGAAGATATGATTTAGGTGAAATAGTTTGGTCAGATGGTTTCCATTATGTTAGAAGTCCGATGGTCGTCCTCGTCAATAACTCCGGAGATGATTTCACAGTTCGGTCTGCCATTTAAAATCTCTTGTACAAGACAAAGTTTGACCCTTTTTTATTAAAAAAAATCCATTTTTTGGCTTGTTCGGTGATTGATAACACTTGGCAGATTAATCAAAGTCTTTTTCTTTGAACATAGGCTCTGTTTCTTCGTTAATAAAAATTCTATGGGCAGTGGGCATGTTGCTTTGTTTTTCCTCTGGTTCAGACCCCATGGTACTTGAGAATGATTGATAACACTTGGCAGATTAATCAAAGTCTTTTTCTTTGAACATAGGCTCTGTTTCTTCATTAATAAAAATTCTATGGGCAGTGGGCATGTTGCTTTGTTTTTCCTCTGGTTTTGACCCCATGGTATTTGCTTAGTTTGTCCAACTGATTTGACGTTGGAGCAGGCAGGCAGGCACAATGTCTGAGACACAAGAGGCGAGAGAGACAATACACTTTTTAGCGCTTCAAAATCTGTATTGAGTACCGCTAAAGCTTTTATTTTTCTCCTCCTTTTTCTGAAGTTTCGCATATATGTTGTGGGTTTAATAATGAATTCGTCCCTTCATTTTATGAAAGTTAAATGTTTGATCCAAGGAGATTATCTTGCATCAATTTAACACCTCATGATTAATTTTTTAAATTATAACAAAAAAACATATTATAATAATTATAATATATATTTTTCTTTATTTTTCATGTCATTTTCATTAAAAGAAAGTAGTTCTACTTATTGATCTTTTCTAAATTTAGTTTATCTATTTTGAGAAGGAATATATAAAATTAATTTAATCAAAAATGCATTCATTTATTAATAAAATAATATATATAGATTCCAAAAAAAATAAGTATATTTTACGAGAGTAACTTATCGAATAATAAAACCTTAATTACAGTGAATTAAATAAGATAAATTAATACAATATACTCAATTATATTTTGATAATCTTAATATCATATATAAATTTATATTTTATGAACTAAACACTTATTAATATTTAATATTATTATCTGATTAGACCATAATTTTTTATTTTTGTAAAATACGAAAATCGCACTTTGAATGATTAAGGTATATAGACTAAATTCTTATTGTCGTAAACTAGAAGGATGAAAATCAGATTTAGACCTAATCGGCGATCTTGGCCTCTAGGCGTCTGGAAATTCCACTTGTCCCTTTTTTTCACGGGTCAAATAACAATAACCTCGGAATACTGCAAAAGCCCAAACCTGTGTCCCAATGACCAATATCCAGGGTCAATTCAAACTCAAACTGTATTTCCAAAACAATAGGATAAACTATGAAAATGGTCCCTAAATTTTTAAGTAACTTGCATTTTGATCATTTGACGTTTTGAAACTTGTAATACAATCACTAAACTTTTAATTTGTTTCCATTATGATCATTTGATTTCTTCAATCGAAAAGATCTTTGAACTATTCCTTTTATCCTTTTTTTCTTTAGTTCAAACTCCTCGACAAACTTTTCAATCTCTTCAAATCTCAATCAAAACAAAAAAAGTTAATTTTTTTATCTATCACTACCAACAGTTTGATCAATTTTAAATCAAATCATGTTAGTTTCATACCAAACGAAGCCTTCTCATTGTTAGGATTGACTAACTGTTACATTCATTGTAAACTCGCTACAATCGAGATGGATAATTTTCTCTTTTTAAATTCTTTTATTGTTTATTGTTTGTTACTATTGATGGTTATGACTGTGGACGATGATCGAATGAGATTGATGCTTTTAGATTTGGATGAAATGATGATAATAAATAATTTATTGGTTGTGAGAAAAAGATAAAGCTCCTGAATAAAATAAGTGGCATATTTAGTGTTGACGATGACCAAAAGGATATTGGACAATGACAGTGTAAACGGAAAAAAATTATGACTATCAATTAAAAGAAGATTTTAGAATTTTTTAAGAAACAAATTTTAACATGTTATGTCAAATTTGTTATTGCAATTAACTACAATAGAAGTGAATTAAAAGTTTAGTATTGAATTATAATTTTTAAAAGATTTATGGTAAAAATACAAACATCCTAAAAGTTAGGGATCATTTATAGTTTTCCCTGGAAATGTAATTTAATAAAAATAAATAACGAGTTCCACGATTTTGACTGTGGAAAGAACATGTTCCTGCCTTCCCATTAAGCACCGATTCCCGTCTTCCTCGTGAAGCAATACCAAACCCAAACCAAAAAGCCAATTTCTTTTCTTTAATTTATTAATTATCATTTTTTATTCATTTTTCTCACTAAATAAATGCTCTAACAAAGTCATCTATTCTCTTAACACGCTTCTCTTTTCTGGGTCTCATCTAAATTTTCAACCTTTACTCTGTTGAACGACAAGAAGAAGACAATTTTTCAACTGAAAGAAGAAAATGGAAATGAATAACAACCACGGAGGAGTTTCTTTTGAAACGGAGAAGAAACCTAAGACGAAGATCGTATGCACGCTGGGTCCTGCATCGAGGTCGGTCCCCATGATCGAGAAGCTGCTGAGGGCCGGCATGAACGTCGCTCGTTTCAACTTCTCCCATGGATCTCACGAATACCACCAGGAAACCCTCGATAATCTCAGGGCCGCCATGCTCAACACCGGTATTCTCTGCGCCGTCATGCTCGACACCAAGGCTTGTGTTTCTTTAAACCCTTTTCTTCCTTCTTTTCTTTTAATCTAAAGTCAAAACATTTGCTTGCGGTTAACTACTTTTAGTTTAATCAATCTCTCTTGTCTGTTTGTTTTCTTTGATCCGATTGCTTGTTTCTTTTCGTTACCGGCATCTGTATGATCATAGATCTATGTATAAATCTCCATGCTTCAATAGTTTGCTTAGCAACAATCAAAGTGTTTGATGATATGCTTCAATGATATATTTGTGCTGTTCATTTATTAGCCACCGTTACTGTTCTTCGTGAGATCTATATTGAAAACTTAGAAAAAAATCTAACCACGCTCGTAATCCGACACTTGTCCTTATAAGAAGAGCTCTGGCTGATTAATTGTAGCTGCTTCTTTCATGTAAACTTTCAGGGTCCTGAGATTCGCACTGGTTTTTTGAAGGATGGGAAAATTCAGCTCAAACAGGGTCAAGAAATCACCGTTACCACTGATTATACCATAAAGGGTGATGAGAAACTGATAAGTATGAGTTACAAAAAGTTGGCCGAGGATGTCAAACCAGGGATGGTCATACTTTGTGCGGATGGTACGATCTCGTTTACCGTATTATCTTGTGACAAAGAAAAGGGTCTGGTTCACTGTCGCTGCGAGAATTCTGCGATGCTTGGTGAGAGGAAGAACGTTAATCTTCCAGGGGTTGTTGTTGACCTTCCAACCTTGACTGAAAAGGACAAGGAAGATATCTTGCAATGGGGAGTTCCGAACCAAATTGACATGATTGCTCTTTCTTTCGTCCGAAAAGGGTCGGATCTTGTAGAGGTCCGCAAACTGCTTGGGAAGCATGCTAAGAATATTCTTCTCATGTCGAAGGTATGCTTGAAGTATTTCAGATATGACTTGTACTATTCTGTTTTACATCTTGTTAGCAGGGTGTTTGTGAAGAAGAAAATCATATAATAGTGAGATCGAATGATGATAATTTCTTAGGGAGGAAGATTTGTCTAATGCATACATCTAATGTAGGCAGGGTTAATATTTTATGATGCTGTCGTGATAGTAATTTTTTTTCCCTTTTGAAACGATGTTACAGGTCGAAAATCAAGAAGGGGTAGCAAATTTTGATGACATCCTTGCAAATTCAGATGCATTTATGGTGGCACGAGGCGACCTTGGAATGGAGATTCCAATTGAAAAGATATTTCTAGCACAGAAAGTGATGGTTTACAAGTGTAACATCCAAGGAAAACCCGTTGTCACTGCAACACAAATGCTTGAATCAATGATAAAGTCTCCCCGGCCAACCAGGGCTGAGGCCACTGATGTTGCCAATGCAGTTCTCGATGGCACAGACTGCGTGATGTTAAGTGGTGAAACCGCTGCTGGAGCTTACCCGGAACTTGCCGTTCGGACCATGGCCAAAATATGCGTAGAAGCAGAAAGCACTCTTGACTATGGAGATGTCTTCAAAAGGATAATGGAACACTCACCGATGCCCATGAGTCCGTTAGAAAGCCTGGCTTCTTCAGCTGTTAGAAGCGCAAATTCAGCGAAAGCAGCTCTTATATTGGTCCTAACGAGGGGAGGAAGTACTGCAAAGCTGGTGGCGAAGTACAGACCTGGAATGCCCATTTTATCCGTGGCAGTCCCCGAGATCATGACCGATTCGTTCGATTGGTCATGCAGCAATGAAGCTCCAGCAAGGCACAGTTTGGTCTATCGCGGTTTGATCCCGGTTTTATATGCTGGATCCGCCAAAGCTTCTCATGAAGAGACAACCGAAGAAGCTTTGGAGTTTGCCGTGCAGCATGCCAAGGCAAAGGGACTCTGCTGTCAAGGGGATTCGATCGTTGCTCTGCATCGTATCGGAACTGCATCCGTGATCAAGATCTTGACCGCAAAGTGAGTGAGTTCGCCTCAATGATTTCCGGTTAAACATTTCTAATGTCATTTTTAAGGTTCCCTGGTACAAGGGGGTACTACACTGCCATTCTTATGCTTCATCGTTTTTGTTGTTTTAATTTTGAATGCAAAAAAGGGTGATTAAGTTCACAAGTACAATGTGATGATATGATATATTTGGGACCTAGAAACACTGAATGTTTTTCTTTTTCTACGAAACTGTTGAGTTTTAAGGACAGGTTATCTGATTTTGATTCCTCCAATTTTTAATTTTCAGAATCATGTAAGATTTAGAAGTATTGATTATATATATTTTTTTGATTAAGTTAAAAAAATTACAAAGTAGTATATGTTTTAAATATTTTTAATTATTTGATAATGAACGTTGAATCACCCTTGCAATCGTTGATACCCAAACTCTTAATCTCTAATAATAACAATAATTTACTTAATGATCGAGGTAAGTTGATTTGTGTGATTATATTTCTTTTAATGTGAATTATGTCATGAATTGGTTTTTATTTGGTACAAGTACAACCAACATATTGATTCGTTTACAGTAAGGGATTAATTTGAATGATCTCTATATTATGTGGACTTGTTAGATATTAATTTTAAACAATTTTTTATAAAAAATATTCAAAAATCAAATATAAAAATTAGTGTATATATAAAGCCATTAATTCAAAATTTTTATACAAAATATTTTCTTCTATTATATAACAAAATTTAATGTATAGAACTTTTCCGTTAAGATCCGATCAGATGTGAAAATCATTAATTCAATTTCTTTTTAAATAATAATACTTCAAAGACAAAACCATCACTTATGTCGGACAACATGGCACAACTAATAACCATTAGATAAAACGAAAATGATCGTAGCCGTCCATTGTCGTTACCAGCGAGGAAAGATTCTGGAAGTCCATTGATTAATTCATCTAATCAAATCTCTTCCACTCAGGAAAAGGTCTAATCATGTTGACAAATTAGTCCATAATATTAAAAGTATAAAAGGTTACCCTTTCCCCTTCCCAACCCATTCATATTTATCGGTAATACGAACCATTTATATTTTTATTATTTTGATATAAACTTTTAAAATGATTCATTTTTCTATAAAAAAATTATTATTAAATAATTAGAGATAAAATTCATACATGCCATCACTGTTATTTAATTTGTGCTTGATTTCATATTAATGTTAACACCTATCTTAAAAATATAATCTGTAATTTATTTTAGATATCATTCGTAAATATTTTAAATAATAAGATATTTTTCTATCAGATTATTTTAAAAAAAACAGTTTTTAATTTAAATTTAAATTCTAAACAAATCTCTAATTGCTGAAATTAGAAAGATCTGAGCGAATGAATAGTAGCTCTCTATTTTTCTTCTACAATTGAAATTTCATTTATACACCGCAATTTCTTTTATTTTCTTCTGAGTTATAAAAAAATCTCCCAAAAAAGTTATGCCAATTGAATTAAATCTGCTTTATTGGAGAGATGGTTGCTAAGTTCAATTTTCTTAGATATTGTCAAGTGTATAGAGATGTTATGACCCTTGAGAAATAGAGAAGTTGAGATCGAAGAAAAGAAGGAGAACAGAAAAGATTAACAAAGCAGGGGAAATATTTAAGAAGAAGACATAAGATTTCATTCATAAATTTTCCATCCTTCATGCATTATAATTCTTAGCCTATATAATCTGTTAATGGGTTACACAATTGTCCTAAATTGTCTGCTAGTGCAACGGCCTAATCATTAACTATTGCTTGGTATAATTCTGCTTATGGGCTTCTCTGAATGGATCTCCACCTTTAGGTCATTTGCTTTCTTCTCAACTAGATTCCTATCTTCACCAAATGCCCAACGTCGTCGTTTTTCCTTTGGTAATATCAACTCCACTTTCCCAATTCCTATTTTTTCCAATTTATGTCCATAAATCCCTAACCCTTGATTTGTTCCCATTTATATTTATCTCCTAACTTCGATCATGACAATTCTTACCCTTTAGACAATCCTTGTCCCCAATGATCAAACACCATAATTTTTTTCCTGAGGCCAGTGTTGCATTTCCAAGTGACGTTCTCCGGCTCCCAGTTCGCCCACGGAACTATTAGTGAAGTGACAGTCTGGTTGTTCTTCTCCACCCTCATGCGTTGTAAAATGGTGTAAGGACCATAGGACCTTGTTGCAAGCTTTAATTTCTTTCAAAAAGCAAGTGATGTTTGGTGATAGGGTTGAAACTTCAGGTAAACTCTGTCTCCGACCTTCAAATCTTTGTTTCTCCTTTCTTTATCCGCATAAAACCTCATCCTACTTTGCTTAATTTCCTCCAGTAGCTTCTTCAACCTTTCTTCACTGATCTTGTTTGTCTCTTCGAACTTTTCCTCCGTTTCACTAATTTTCTTTTCCAACGAACTCACCATTGCCTTTAGTTTTTATTCTCATTAGTAAGCTTCTCCAGCATTATGTGGCCATCCATTGTAACCTCCTGAATTAAAGGGACCACCTGAGCTGCCCTTTTAGCATCCTCATATTCCTTGGCTAGCAATTCTTAGGTTTCTTTAAACTGAAGTTGCATGTCTTGCAAAGCAGACTGTAACTTTGTGTTTTCTTTTGTTTTGGCCTCTTCCATGTCAACCCTCATACGTTTCTCCAGTTGTAATCTCCATGTCAGTTCCTCAACTTGTTTTTCCAGTTTGTTCTTGGCAGCTTGCAGAATTCCAATTTCCCTAGCAGTCGTCTTAAGCTTCCGCAGTTCTTTTTTAGCAACTCTTACTCTCCATGCACATTGTGTAGCAATTACCGCTTTCTTCAACCTCATATAATGCAACTGAGACAAGAACTTGCAACATTGGCTCTGAATTATAATTGTTGCTCTGGTCTGCCTTCTAAAGCATAGCTCATTGCAAGTAGCCACTATATCGGAAACCATCACCTTTATGGCTCTGAATAATCTTTCAATCATCTTGTAATGTTTGGCTTTGTAGTCTAACAGAATGGATTGGCATATCCTATACATGGAATTAGCAGCAAATACCTTTATAGGCCACTTTGAAGAGTCATCCAATAGGCACAAATTAGCAGCATTACACTTCTTGAATTCCATGAATATGTTCTTTGCTGAATCAGAAAGTATTTCCAGTATTTCATTTGTATTTTTTCCTTGGAGAGACAGTTTCCTAAGGTTAACATTTAGCCATCTATGATACAACTCAACTCCTAGCCACACAACACTCGCAGCCTTCCTGTTGTTTACCATATTTCCTTGCATGTCCTCTATGTTTCTGACATACACCAAACCTTCATTTACTTCAGCTATAAGACGTTTGATTGAGCGGCTTTCGATGTATGGAACATATTTTTGGCACTATAAGAATTGATTCACATTTACCGTTGAAGGAGATATGTCTAATTGTTTTGTTGCCGTTCGAGCTTTATAGTGGTCCACCCTCCATCCGTCATCCAATGCACTGTAGGAAATTGTTGACTGAATTTGAGTGTAAGTTTTGACCGAGCTGTCAACCCCATATTCCTCGACGTCTATTGGATTTTCAAGAACACGAGCTGCTACACCTTCACATTCACCTTCATGTAGTAACCCAAGAAGAATATAGTCGAATCCAATATGGTTATGGCCAAGTTGACGACCTTCTTCCAACGAGAGTTCCAAAACACATTCGGCACAATAAGTAAATGGAATCTCCACATCAACAAAACCACAGCCCCTTCCAATTATCTTCTTGACCTCTACTCGTGCATCTTTAAGATTGATTCCCATTAGCAATAATCTAAACTTGTAATGGTCATCATCTTCTACAAGTTTATCCCTCCCAACCTTGACAAGACCGAACTTACATCCATCAACATACATAATCTTGATCGAGCCAAACTTACACCCATCGACCAAAACACTAGTAATTAGTTGATAATTATATTTATGCATTGTCATCATACCTGCACCTTATTGTCCTTGATGCTGGAATGAAGCTTTGTGATTTTCAAAGAAACTTGGTGGTGCGAATTCCCATGACGGTTTTGATAGAGGTAACGAACATGATATTTTAAAGAAATTGAAGATTGCCGCATTTTGGTCCCCTACAAACCGAGTTTGCAGCTGGACATCGACGCTCACCACACCATCATCACTTTTATTTTCACCATCTATCCCTTCCTTTAACTGTGCAAGCCTTTTACCAAATACGGGACATGTGTCATTTTTAAATTTGGTTCTTTATACTCTCAATGGCATTGAAAGAACCTACACTCACTGTTTGATCACTTTGAAAATCAAGTCCCTCGTAACTTTGATCTGTTTGGTCTCCAATATTCTTTACCTTTGGTGTTGGCAATTTATCGAACACCTGGGAATCATCATGTTTTTCCTCACTTTTTACCAGACAAAAACTGTAAAATGTGCTCCACATCTCTCTGCTGCAACGCTATTTTGGATTCCAACATACTTAACAGACTGTCATGCTTCTGCCACCATTTAGGACGAGTGGACTCATCGGTTATTTGCTTAGCCAGCTTTGTCAAGTACTCAATCTGTTTTTGTATTGCAGACAAATCAGTGGAATCACCCATCGTTTAGTTCTTCTTTAATATACCCAAGCTTTAGAATGCCAGGAATAATAGCTCTTGATACCAATTTGTTATGACCCTTGAGAAATAGAGAAGTTGAGATCGAAGAAAAGAAGTAGAATAGAAAAGATTAACTAAGCAAAGGAAATATTGAAGAAGTGATAAGATTTCATTCATAAATTTCCCATCCTTCGTGCATTACAATTCTTACCCTATATAATCTCCTAATGGGACAAAGCCTATTATTTTTACACAACTGCCCTAAATTGTCTGCTAGTACAACAATCTAATCATCAATTATTGCTTGGTATAATTCTACTTAAGGGCTTCTCTGAATGGATCTCCACCTTTGGGTCATTTGATTTCTTCTCAACTAGATTGTTATCTTCACCAAATGCCCAACGTCATAGTTTTTCTGGTAATATTAACTCCTCTCAATTCCTATTTTTTCCAATTTCTGTCCATAAATCCCTAACCCTTGATTTGTTCCCATTTCCGTTTCTCTCCTAACTTCGATCATGACAAAACAAGATTGCATAATATTTCAGAATTCATAATATTCTCCGAGGCTCAAGAATAAAGAAATTCAACACATGTTTTCGCAAGATTGAAATAATTATTGTATATACTAGGCAAGGCAGAATAGAATATTGAACAACAAACAAGATGCTAATACCATATAAACTCAGTTCTCCTCTGTTTGAGATGTATTTCCGGACGACGAATTCCCTCTGCTGGATTGAGATCCCGATGTGAACGGCCATGGAAATGAGAACCTTCTCCCACTTCTCCCCTCCCCTTCACCTTCTTCTTCCTCACTCTCATGTCCCTCAACATTGCTTTCACTTTCTCTCTCTCTTTCTCTTCGGTTTCTAATACTACTCCTCGGCCTATTGGAGTAGAGTTTGGATTCATCTGCGGGAATTTGATATCTGCAAACTGGACACGAACTATGAAGCTCCAGCCATGGCAATATACAGCCACTATGGAACTTATGCTTACATGGCATTTCCTTGGCTTCAATACCAACCTCGAAATCATCTAAGCACACTGAGCATTGCAAATTCTCCTTGATTTTGATGGTTGGCATGGCCTCGATCGCCTCTTTTTGTGCTGGAGGAGTTCCGTATCTGTCGGGGTCGATTTCCGCCAAATGCTGCAGCAATAAATCTAAGCCAGGACCACTGAAATAATCTCCTATAGACCCTATATGATTGGAGTTTTGGTTTTGACCACCCTGGACGATGATCGTTTGATTGAAAGGATTGATCACAATTACGCGCTCTCGCTCTCGCTCTCGCTCCCTATCGTTATCAGAATTCTCGGTTTCAGATGCCATTCCATCTCTAACACCTTGAAGCAACTGCAAAATCGTCGCAGAGCTTCTTCTTCTACTCCTCATGATGGATTCAAGTTCCCGGTCCAAGTCCGTATCACCTCCATGGTAAGCTTCACCATCAGAATTGTCTTCATCAAACTCGAAACGTCTAAGTCTTCTGCGGCGACGGGGATTACCGATCATACCTAACAAGATGGGTGCCCACAGAGAGTGCACTTGATCGGATTGGAAATCAGAATCCATGTCTTGAGCACTGTCTCTTACACCATTGCTCATTTCTTCAATAAACCCGCCTTGACACAACGAGCATTTAATCTCGACTTCCATGACCGGAGTAACCACTTGAGAGCACTGATGACACCAGTAAGTTGCGGTCATTGCTTCCTCCATTATCCTCCACGCCTTTCCTCAGAACAAATCCCTTTTCCTCTTTTAGCTATCTCTTTAGGGTTCTATCACAAGCAAGAGCAACAAATAAGGATCATCAAAACCAGTTAGAGTCAACTAAAATGGAAAGCAAATCTGCCATTAAAGATCAACTTTATTTTTTTGGAATGATTTAGCAGATCTACATAAATAATTCCCTAATCAAAATTTCCATATAAAACAAAAGAATCCCAAACAAAAAATCCCAGAATTCAAAGTCTTCTCAAAGAAAACTAGAGTTCAACAGAAAACAACTTCTCAAAGAAGAATACTTTTTTTTAGAAAAATCAAACAACAGAGTAGAAGGATCTGCGATTCTAGAAGCAGCAGGTTTCAAATTCCAAACCAGAACATGAATTTCCCCCAATAATTATGAAAAATAAAACCCAAATCAGTGCAATAATTAAAATAAGGGAAAAAAAGAAAGAATTTCAGATACAGAACATACAAAAGAAAGGTATGTGAAATTTTCTTCCTACCTTTAATTACAGCAAGAACAGCAAAGAAACTTAAAGTGGAAGGAGCAAGCACAAAACGAATGGTATATGTTGGGGGGATTGACTGTGTCCAAAGTGGATTTTTTTACCCAATTACCCTTTACTTAATTAATTAGTATTTGTCTAAAAAATCTTGAGTGGATTTCTTTACCTAGTTATAAATATTTTATTAAGTTGGTTTCGCAGTTCAAATCAATTTAAATAAAAAAAACATTGAAAAGATTATTAATTTAAATATGTTAAGTGTAAAAACATCTATTCATTGAGAAATTTAAAATAAAATATGTAAAGACAGTAATTAATATATTAAATGATATTTTAAAAGCAATCAGCCAATCACATACTAATAATATAATTAATATGATATTTACATATGTATATATATCTAATTCGTGATCAAATTTTCTGTTTAGTCTATTATATGTTTTAAAGTATTAAGCTAATGTTATAAACATGTGGGATGAAATTGTTCAAATTTTAGCATTTTTCATAAAAATGTAATATTTAATGAGATTATCTCTATATTTTTAAACAATATCAACTATTGAGAATTTTTATATATCATTTCAAGTAATGTTATCAAACTAAATAAATTGATTTTATTTGAAATTTTATAATATCAGATGTAATCTTACATTACTCAAATCAAATGCAGTATATTTGATTTAACCATTGAGAATTATTATGAAATATAAATTATCACCAAAGCTTGTTCCTGCCGATTTTAGTCTTGGGAATCCTCAGCAATCAATCATCACATTCAATCACGAGTCAAAAAAAAACCCACAAATTTGTAAAAATGGGGGGAAAATAAAGGTGCAGAGTATTATTTCTGCTGTCTCCCACAACTCTTGTACACACTAAACAGTGCTTTTCAAGCAGGATGGCATGTCAAATTGAAGCTAGAGACACCGCAAGGGCAGCCATCATATGGGATCTAAAATCTCAATGTTAATCCCAAGCAAGAAGTCAATGCAAAGCATGTTCAAGAGCTCTTACCAGGCTTGGTTTCTAATCCACACCTTCGAGCTAAAAATGTAACAATGGCTTACTATAAATGTACAAATCGCAAAATCCCTTCTCAGTTTATTTCTTACAAGATAACATCGGTCTTTTCTAACTCTAACAGCTGCAGAGCTACATCCTGGGGAAAAGAATGACAAAGCAGGAAGTTTGACAAATCCCACTCCCACCAATATCTCAGGCCGTGCCGGAAAACTTTAAGAAGCTTCAAAAACCAAAATCAGTAATACTAAGCTGATTTTTCTTTTTTCTTTTTTTTACAGAAGTTGTTGAATTCAATGAGTCGGGCCCCTTTGCAGCATTCTCCACCTGCAATTATTGAGCTTGGGTTAAAAGGCACCAAACAAAGTGATAGACTGGCAAAAAGGAACATATTGTAACCAATAATTAGTAGAGCAAGCCCGCGATATATATTGTTGTGCAATGTTCAACAATTTAAAATAAAAAGAACCAAATTAATGTAATAAGCTTAGCATCAAAAGATAAATTGATGAACTATGCCATGAACAACCACTAAATTAAAAGCTTCCAGATCCAAGTAAATGAAGAGGCAGCTTTAAGGATCATCAAAGCAATAGACAACAAATTTAACTAAACATGAGAGAAGTAGATACTGCAAGTTGTATGGCAAAATCCATGCAGAAAAAAGACAAGAAAAGTAGCAAAAGCAATGCAGGAAAAGTATAAGAACTAGTTTTCTTTAACAGTTAATTAACTTGGTTTGCTAGTTACAATAAATCTCACTAGACGCTCCTGATAATTTTTCTTTTCAATCTTCAATAGGAATGAAGAAATCTTTGAAACATGTTCTAAGCATTTGATTCTTATTTATTTTGTTTCCATTGAGGTAGAAATATATAATTAAGGCAATATGGGATTTTGTTTATTCAGTTTACTATTGTGTCTCATGAATGTAATAGTAAACAATTTAAAGTTCTGCTAACTTTCTGCTTCTATTTTTTTTATATTGTATGTATTAGGATTTAGGGTTTATCTTATAACTACCATGTAGTTTTAGTTAAAATAACTTAGGCTTAACATCATTTACAAAGGTGCTTTTTGAGAGAGTCAAGTATTTGGATATTTGTTTTCTCCCCCTGTTGTATTTTATGATCTTAATCACAATTTTCATATAGGTTTGGGCTTTTAGAATATTAGGGTACTTTATACTAGTCATATGATGCTAAGCTTTCAAACATTAGGCTTTAGGTTATATCGGTATATGCATTTAGGGTTCAGGCCTTTAGCTCATAATTACCTATTATTGTATGAAACTAACTTCTCTTTCCCTCAATCAACATTCTCATCTAAGAACCCGAGGAAAAAAAACCCAGAAAGCTTATTCACCGAGCTATCATAAAAAAAAGGAAAACAGGTAAAAATTTAGGTGGTGTTTGTTTTTGTAGAGTTAAAAGGTCTGCAGTCTGCGGACCACATCTGCAGGCATCTACAGCAGAAGAGGTGGACCAAAAGTCTGAAATCTGCAAGAAGAAGACTGTTTGTTTTTTAACGTCTGCAGACTGCTAAAATAAACTGAAATATAAATAAACTGATATTTTAAACTTAAAAGAGTTTTACAATACTAAGATTTAAATAATTTTAGTTTTACAATACTGAAATTTAAGTAATTCATACGACTACAATAATAATTTTTTTAGAAAAACAAACACTACCTTATTAATTCTATTATAAGTCTCACATAATCACATGTATTATTAGTTTTATAAGTTTTATAGAATAAAATTTATAAATGATCATTAAATTATATGATTTTTTTAAATATGCAATTATGTAATACTTTTAATTTTTTTAAATATATTCATAATTATTTTTATAATTATATGATATTTTTAGAAAATATTTTTTAATTTATCAAATTATTTTATGATTATTTTTTATTTAATTGTGATTATATTTTAAAATTTTAAAAACATAATTTATAATTTTTTATATTTTAAAATCTTAATTATCAAACAATGAAATCATTTTTTATTAAGCAATGTGGTTTAAATACTTACATTTTGTATAAAAAGTTTAAATATAATTTAAAAATAACAAATCCAAAAAAATTATTATATTTAAACTTAAATCAAAATAATTAAAATAAATATAAAATATTAATAATATATAAAATAATTTATATGATATAAAATTAAATATCTATAATATAATATTAAAAAATTAATATTTAATTTATTTAAAAAATTAATATTAAAATTAATATATTTAATATAATATTAAAAATTAATATTTAATTTATTTAAAAAATTAATATTAAAATTAATATATATAATATAATATTAAAAAAATTAATATTTAATTTATTTAAAAATTAATATTAAAATTAAAATCAAATATAATATAAAATTAAATATAAAACCTCTTTGAAGATGTTAGAAGACGTCTACAGACATAAGATCACGTCTGCGCCGCGCAGATCACGCGCAGACCATGCGCAGACGTTAGAAGAGCTTCTGTTTTCTAAAAAACAAACGGTCTGTGAAGCTCAATGTCTACGTGTGATCTGCGCTGCGCAGACATAAGAGCTTTGCAGACCTTATACAGTAAAAACAAACACCACCTAACTGTCTGCTATGTTATAATGTAATTTATGATAACCCATAATGTTTAGAAAGATAATTTCTTCAAACAAGCTGGTTCATGTTCAGAACAAAGAAAAGGTACAAGGATTAGGAACTGCATGAATAAACAAGACAAAGAGGATAAAAGAAACTCAGTGTTTAGTGGAATGGTGAAGCATACTCCACCCTATCACCAGACAAATTTGATGCTGATGGTGCTCAGAAGAAAATCTTGTCAGATTAATATTAATACACAAAAGTCGTTTTTTAATAAAATGGCAGCAAAGTGAATTCTTATCGGAAATTCACCAGAATCTTTAATATTTCTTCTACATTGTTTTGGTTAATAAAATATAATTCTGTTTTCAAGCTGACAATCAAGAGAGGTAATGTCAAGAACTTTCAACAATCAAACCAAATAAGAAGAAAGCTTTTAACAAATAACATGTCAATTTTCAAACTTAGAACACTACCTCGACAACAAAGGACAAAAATATTCCTAGCAAAAAATGATTGCATGAAAACTTCAAACAATTAAATGACTTCACGATAGTATTATTAACATCAAATTTTAACTCTATATAAAAAAAAGGCTTATTACTAAATTGAGCTATCCGTAAGAGCTATTGAATCAATTGCAGAAGTTTAGGCTGCTAAAAGAGAAAAGTAAAGCATAGCTATCCGTAAGGGAAAATAAGATGCTTACATGATTAACCAGAAATTGTCCCAACAGGCGACGGTTTAGCTAAGAACTTTCAGTACCAGGAGATTCATTTCGACTACCTCTATCATTATGACCCTATAAAAAAGGAAAAGAAAAAAGATAGAGAACAATCAAGTTTTTTTTTTTTTGGCTTTTAAATAACAAGAGGAAGAATAAGGGTAATGCTTATACCAGAAATGGACTTTTACTGCGTTGATGACGGTCTTCAAAAAGAGGACAGTAATAAGATCCTAAGGCGTCATCAGAATCACTGTTAGAGCGCTGTCTGGAATTGGGTAGAGTTGGTGGGTTCAGAAAACTATTTCTCATATCGAAATCAGGTTCTCGAGGATTAGCACGACTATCTACATACGAAGCTCCCAGTCTATATATTTGAATCCATAACAGGGACGATAAGAATCTTACGCAAGACCCCAAGATCTCCATGGCAAGCGTTAATCTGAGCGAGAAGACGAACAACATCCCTTTACTCTGGCTGGACATGTTCCAAATATCGCGGGGAAAAAGGATGAACCAAGAAATGTCAAGAATAATGGCGCAGAAGAGCAAAACGGCGTAGGTACGGCCCAAGCTCTGACTGCTGCTCGAGATAGCAACCAAAGCGAACAATGCGATCCCCAAATTCATCAGCGACACACCGTTGTATAGTGCGCCAAGGGATCCGATCAAGGAGCATCCAATCTGATCAATCAAACAACTCTTTTTTTAACAAAGGTACAAAGAAACCCTAGATTTCATTTGATTTTAATTCCAAGAGAGAAAGAAATAAATTACTTGGATGTAAATGAGGATGACAGCGACATCCAGGAGCCTATCGTAATCGTGAAGACAAGCGTGAATCCAATTTCTCACATTCTGAGAGCAAAAACAAACCATTATCTGCTGCAATTCATATAATTTTGATTGATTGCTTCTTCAAAGCAATCAAATCAAAACCAATTCTTTCTACTTTTATCTTTGCTTTTCCTTTTCAATAAAAGATTACTTTCATCCAAGAGCTGCGACACAAGATTATCAACTACTCACAGAATCATCAAATCAAAGTCTTGCACTCTCCTTTAATTTTTCTCTTCTCAAACTAATTTTTCCCTCTTCCTCTTAGTGACGGGTTGACGTGACAGCAAGCCGTTCTTCCGATCGGTTGAATCTGTTTTCTCAAATCTCAACCAATCCTAATTATTCTTTACAAATCGGTCCATCAATTTTTATACTTTATTCCTTTATTTTATTTTATCTTTTAATTATAATTTTTTACAAATTATTTCTTCATTCAAGTCCATGATTCGTTTGTAATTTCATCGACGTTTAAAAACAACTAAATATATTTTATAATTTTAGATAGTTCAAATTTATTAAATAATATTATAAATTTTACTTATACATATATAAGAAAATAATATATATTATATAATTTAAGAAAAAAATAAATTATAATTAATTGATGTTATAATAAATAATTATAATCAAATTTAAACATAAAATTAAAAAATAATTTGATTAGACTAAAATTTTCCAAAGAATAATTAATTTGAAAAAATAAATAAAATTAGAATGATAAAATATGATTCTGCAATTTAATTAATATAAATATTTTGATTAAATTTGTTTTAATTTAATTCGATCGAATATTTACTCCTAAAACATATATTAGTAAAAGAATTCAATATATATATGTATATATATACATTACTGCCATGCAAATTAACCTTGTGGGAACTTTAGATAAATTTTATGAATATGATTATTTTGGTGGCTAAATAATCAATCGTTGAAATCTTATGATACCTAAAAAAGGAGGTGGTATCGAGATTATCTCATATATTACTAAAATTAATTAACTTTAATTATGTGTTTTAAATATTTTATTATTAATCTAGGCAGGCTTAGGCCTTTTGTTTTCCCATTTGCTATTGTTAGGTGGTTGCAGTAACTGTCAAGATAGACCCACCCACGTTGGAGCCTACTCATCAGTATCATAAGCTTATAATTTATTAATTTTTCCTTTTTCTGGTAAAAAAAAAGGGACATGGAAGGGAACTCTGAAGGCGGCGGTGGCGGCGGAGCAGAAAGAGGAGGAAACGATGTGGAGCTGGTTTGCAAAACACTCCAGGTAGAACACAAGCTGTTCTACTTCGATCAATTACTACGTCAACTCCGACGAGCGCGACCCATTTCTCTTTTTCATATGAAATTCACTGTTTCCTGTATGTGCAGTCGAGTTTCAGTAGAATGGGTTTAGGGTATCGGATCTCTTATTGAATTGGATAGTGCTGGAGAAATAAATGCTTTGGTATGAATTATGATGTCAGTAAATAACTAAGCCTTAGCTTTATATCACTTCGAATGCTAAGCCCTTTTCTTATTGGTCTTCAACCAGAAATTGTAAGCATTGACCATTTCATATATGAAGAATCCTAACCTTATTATAATTTATAGTGATGGATAATATATCGTCTTTCGTCATTCAAGGTTGCAGCTGGTTATGGTATTTTTCTGAAGTAATTGAAGAGCGTTTGTGCTGTTCCTTAAACTCAATTCTCCTGTTCTTAGCTTTAGAAGGGGATGGATGGACGCGAACTCTTTTACAATAACTCATGACTATACCACAAATTAGGAAATTTGACTTGATTAGAGTGTTTGCTTAAAGCGGGTTTTATAGGATACTAGCGTCCAACATTAATGCGCATAGAATATTCTAAATGCTTTTTGTATGAGAACTACCTTTTTCTTCCTAATGAAGCTTCTTTTTCGTACCGTCAGTTTAAAGGTTTGTTGCTGCTCCAGAGGGTTCCTTTATGAGAATGATATAGCTCCTCCAATTCAATATTCTTTCTCTGAAATGTCATGTTTGATTCTGTCAGTCATCTAGCATCAATTGATGCTTTTACTTCCGAGTAACAAAAATGCTTCCTTGAGGCTCCTAATATCCATTTTCGAACACTATAATTTTGGTCTATATTTACTTCATTATAAAGGTGGTTGTTTGAACCTTGGATCAACCTCTTTTCCATTCCTCCAGGTAAAGTGCATGTTGAACTGAGGGTTTCCCTTCCATAAAAATGGTATTAGCTCCTCTAATTAAATACTCATCTCCAAAGTCTGATCTTTGGTGCTTGGTTGCTGATTATTGCTCAAATTTGAGATTGTGTCTTCCAAGTTTTATTCATTCCAAAACTCTGCTACTCTTATCTTAATTAGAGGTTACAATTGGATAGGTTGGGTTAGGTTTTTAAGCAGTTTTGGTTTTTGATTCTATTTCTTTCCAGGTTTTAAGTTGGTAAAGTTCTGGTTGTTGCTTTTGAGTCAATTCCTTTTGGGTTCTGAAGGTCTTTGTTTCCGGCCAACTTCTACAGTTCTACCTCATTTGCAGTAGATGGTAATTGGTTTCGGATCTGTGATAGTTTGTTTTGAGGCACATTGGGTTTGTTGTTGTTGACCTTTGTACTATATGAGAATTGCTCGAGTAGACTTTTAGCTGAACTGAGTTGGTCATTGGGGGTCAATTTATCTTTAGCATTCTTGACCTAAGAGCATTAGTAAAACACCTCTTATAAACAACTTAATTAGGGTGGAAAAACATTGATACTCACATTTTTTTTCTTACTATGTGCAAGATACCTCAAAAGCAGAACTGTCTTCAGATTTGTCTAATTTCATATCAAAGGACAACTTTAAATTTCTGTCAGTCTTCAAATTGATTTTCATGCAACTTGCCACGTTGTGGACTTCCCATAGTCATCGTTAACAATTGAGCCTTGTCCAACTCAGATTATTTTTTATTCTTCTAACCTTTCAAAAACAATATATTTTCCCACGTCATGGATATTATAGAAGTATAGAAGGCAATTTTTATATGTTTTCTTCTACGATCAGCCTATGTCTTGATTTCCTAAAGCTGTTTCTGCCTGTTTCTAAGAGCCATGTGTGAGTATCAAATACGAATGTATCTAATACAAAGAATGTTGAATTTTTTTTATGTTCTTTTTTATGTTTATAGGGTTGATTTGCACATTGATTTATGTTGGATATGTCTGAAACATAGATTCTTAAAGGACAATGAAGAACAGGTGGTTTCTCATTTCGGAATTTGAACATTCTTAGTGAAAAATAAATAAATAACCAGCGAATATCTTGAAAGATAGAATAAAATTTAACTAAAGAGGAATCAGATCATTCTGTTAAATTCCTGGGGAAATATTGTAAAATCTGACCGTTATTGTATTTTTTTTTCTTTTGAATAATGCTAGATATAGACATGCATTTAAATACATACAGATACACACACAAACACTGGCATGCATGCATGCTTTTGAGCATAAACATAATGAAAATGATTTGACTATTTAGAGCTATGATTTTTGAAAAAGACGCATTAGTGCTATTTGTGACCGCATAGTGCCTTTGATTTCATTTTTTGTAAGTAGTATTGTATCTTGTTTTTTATTCTTTGCATTAACTTTGAATTGTTTGGAAGATAGGAAAAGTCAAAAGTTTGAGATCACCATCTTTTTTAAATAAAATCGTTGCTTTAATGAAATCATCTATGAAGGTGTCTGAAGCATCTGTCAGCAGAAACCGCAGTACCATTATTGTGCCAGCAGGAAGTACCAGGGATGAAGGGTGGGCAGCCTTCAGGAACATATTGGCAGATATCAATGAGGCATCAAGACTTTTCATATTGCCGAATCAGGTATCTTTATGTTACATTCCTATGCTCCTTCCTTTCCAGTGTTCTGCTGCTATACAACAATTCCATATTTAGTGTCATTTAATCTTTCAATTTGGATGTGTTTTGTGTTTATATGGATTTTCTGAAACAGAAAAGTTCCGAACCTTCGGAAGGCCTTGTTGGGCTTTCAGATGACGTCGGGGCTGGCTTCATATCTGGACACATCCAGCCTACCTCAAACTCTGAATTGAATGTAGATAGATCAGTTGAATTGCCAGCACAAGATGAAATCGGTAGCATGGGGGTTTCAAAGGTGATCAGAGCAGATCAGAAGAGGTTTTTCTTTGATCTTGGGAGCAACAACAGAGGACATTTCTTGAGGATATCCGAAGTACTCTCCATTCAACTTTCTTTCTTTTTCATTCATATTAAACACACACACATATATGATGAAAGTACAGGCATGGACTTTCTGTGTTGATAATAGGATGGTTCGACATTGCAGGTTGCAGGTTCTGACCGTTCTTCCATCATTCTCCCACTGTCAGGATTAAAGCAGTTCCACGAAATAGTGGGTCATTTTGTGGAGATAACAAAGGATCGCATTGAGGGAATGGTTGGTGCGAATGTTCGAACGGTGGATCCACTTCAAAGGTGAATGCCTGCCGGTGGGATTGGAAAAATAAGTAATCCTGATTCTGTCAAGTTTGGTTTAGAGCCTCTGTTAGTTGTTTGATAAAAGATGCAATTGTGCTGTTGCTTGTGCTCTGCTCTGTTATTGTCATCCTCACCTGCTCTCATTCAAGGCTTGAAAATAATCCAATTTTGATCTGTTTGATTAACAGAGAAATATTGGAGATAAGTTGTGAAGTTTAGTTTTATAGGAAATAATATGGAGATAAGGCTTTGGATATATTGTAATTTGACCCTTTGAATAATGCTCACTTATTTCACGTGTGTTTTAGAATCAAACGCTGGTTGAATTCATTAATATTATTATTTAATTAAGTTGATATACATTTGTGTTTTTTGTTCTTATTAAAAATTATTCTTGTCTACCGATAGTAAGTGCCTTTCATGTGCAGAACCAGTAGAAAATACCAATCCTATGTTGCGTCTCTGCCCGTCGGCGATGTTTGTATGAAGCGCAGTGGTGAAACAAAATCGTTTACAAGAATTTTTACGCATGGATATAAAGGGTTGGATAATAATGAATCTCAACAAACCAAAAGATTTTATTGGGCAAGCTGAAATCTGGGATATTCTCTTTGGAGCGATCGTGTGGAACATTTGGCTCCAAAGGAATGCGATTGCCTTTGATAATCCATTAGAAGATGAACGACCAGTACTAAAACGAAGTAAACAATGGTTGGAAGTCATGTGCAGGGCAATTGCCAGGGGTGCAAGTCGAACCATTGCTAGCGGAAATCGGGCAATAAGCAATACTAGATTGCAAGCCCCACCGGAAGAGTGGATTAAAGTGAATTCTGAGCGCGGCATAAAAATTCAGGACACTGCCTGCGGTGGGGTGGTTCGAAACAGCGTAGGTACCTGGCAAGTTGGATTTGCTAAATTCCTCGGCATATGTTCAGTCTTAGGAGCTGGGAGAAAGACAGGTTATCTTGGAAACGGATAGCTTAGAAGCCATCAAAGCAGTGCAGATGGATCGATCGACCAATCCTCGGATTACAATTTTGCAACATATAAGTGAATTGATCAAACGAGACTGGGTTGTGCGACTCCAACATGTTACCAGACAAGGAAATAGGGTAGCGGATTACATGGCAAAGATAGCAAAGAGGAGTACCCTGGAATGTGTGAAATTTGAAGAGCACCTGATGGAGTTTTGTAGGTGGTGCTCGAAGATGCACAGTGGCTTTCTAGTTTAGGTTTACTTTAGATTAGTTTTCATTTGTTACCCAAAAAAATTTAATCTTGTCTATTATTTACAACATATTTATCCCTTTTGTAATTTTTATTCAACTTTTAAATTTAATACTGTGCTAATTTTCTATACGATATCTTACTAATATTTGGTTTTAGATGTAATTCCATTTTACTTTTATATTTTACAGATAATTTATTAGATATTTTTTCATTCTCATACTATTTTGCTTGATATATCAATATAATGTAAAAATCATTTATACTTATATATTTTTTTCAAAAGAAAAAAAAATATTGAAAATCAAGCTCAAATGATTGGTTAAATATGTGCATAAATCTCGGGTTAACTAAAAAAATACTAATTATCAAATTTAATTTTAAAAAATAATTAATATCAAATGTAAGTTAAAAGTAATCAGAAGAAATTATATGATTATAATAAAGATACAATTAAAAAAATAGTAAACGTTAAGAGGTTTTTTTTGGTATTATTCTTTTTATTATCAAATGATTGGTTAAATATGTGCATAAATCTCGGTTAACTAAAAAATACTATTATCAAATTTAATTTTAAAAAAATAATATCAAATGTAAGTTAAAAGTAATCAGAAGAAATTATATGATTATAATAAAGATACAATTAAAAAAATAGTAAACGTTAAGAGGTTTTTTTTGGTATTATTCTTTTTATTATTGATTTATAATGTTATTTTGAATGTGTGACTTTATTTTATAATATTATTTTCTTATATAAAATAATATTATAAAAAAATTATAAAATATAAATATATAATTAAAATAAAAACTAAACTAAAAGAAGTACAAGGCTATAAATGAGAAAAAAATATGAATTATATTCAAATATTCTTTTAACTTTATTTATTATAATATTAGATATTTATATTTTTAAATATTACCGTTTTAGTCAAACTTATAATCGATTAGCTTGTAATATACTATACGCATAAATACTAAATTTTGTTGCACCCATAATATGTGAATAAAATATTTTATATAAAAATACATTTATAAGAAAATTATTCGACGAATAAGAACTAATACCAAGATAAAGAAGTATTTTAATTATTTTATTTGAAATAAAATAAAATTATAAATTCAAAGTGAAAAGAATAAATAAATAATAAAAGAATCTTAACATTTGCTTATTTTTTTCAATGAAATGTTGATTATCAATTGACATAAAAAAAAGGCTTATTTAAAAATATAAAAAATTAAAATTTAGATAATCATACAAAAACATTAAGGACACAATTAAGATAAAGGGTGAAAATGAGAGGAGTGTTTTGCCATTATGCCAATTCAATGATAACTGCGAAAGAAAGGAGATAAAATCCAATGCACTGAGCTGGCTGGGTTTGGTACGTTAAAGAACATTTATTTTCAAATCAAAAGTATAAAGTTCCTTGTGAGCTTTAAAATCACCAACTCTGGGATTCAAGTGATACTCCTAAAACTCCTGTTTCATTCATCCTACAAACAAAACATGACAACATTGAAGATTCTGATTTGAAATCCACTTCAAAATTTGTATGATTGGCAAGAACCAAGCCAAAAAAATAATGCTTTTATTCGATGCAATCAACCGGTCTCCGACAAGTGATAACACTTCTACAAGCCAATTTTTTTCTCGGCCTTCTGAATCTGGTTGAGGAATATCCAAGTCATCTGCATACGAGACAGCATCCAGTCCTCAGATATAAACAAAAAGCTTCATGGTTGAGCATGAGAAAACTAAATATGGAGAAGAATATATATAGTAAAATGTATATACCATGACGTGAGGAGCAATTCTAACACAGTATACGGGGAACCCTGTGTAAAATTTGAATGGACCCCCAGACTTGAGGGTTTTCATAGCACAGTCCAAAGAGCCGGTGTATGGATACTTGCCCGAGGCATCGGGTTGCATTTTCTGGATTTGTGTTTTCACATAATCAAAAGGCAAACTACAAGCTGAAGCAAAGAAACCCGAGATGGTACTTGCACCTGTGACATTGAAAAGGAACATTAATCAATATGGGAAATGGATGAAAGCAAGTTAATAAGTTTTAGGATTAGTAATGCATGCAAACCAATTGTCTTGAGAATCGGGAAAAGCACTAAATTATAGCCGGAGAAAGATCTAGTCAAATGATAATGCCACTTCCGAAACAGGGAACAGCTCACCCTCAAATGAAACATATGAGTATGACCAAGAGAAACCATGAACCAGAATATAAAATTTTGTGCTACCCTCCTTAGACCATACATCTTTCTTAGATATTATCCGGATAAAGGGTACGAGCAAATATGCCCAAGTGCTTAACCAACCAATGAAAATTATAAATGAGGTAGTAAAACCCAGCTCTCAAATTAACGAACAAATAAAAGCAAAGAGAGGCAATATTTCCTTGGTTATAACTTCTAACAATTCTGCTATTGGACTATACTACCAAAGCACACATATGATAGATTTACGAAATATTTTATAGTAGTTAAAATATCCATGCTACTATGAAAGGCTCTTACCAACCACAGTAGCAGCTTCTCCTACACCAAGGTTATCCTTGAAAAACTCAACACTTTGATCGTATGAGGCAAGCATTCCCATGTTCAATGCCATGGCTCTGACTACAGTAGGGCCTGCACCTTTCCAGAGTGCCAAAACCCCTTCATCTGCAACAATCCGATAGAGAGCATGGAATGCATTGGAGTAATTTCGGCGCTGAGCAACGGGCAAAGTGGCATCAGCCTGCATTCGGATAAGTGCCAAATCAGCTGGACTTCCAACACAGGCTCCAATAGCACCAGCAGTCAGACCACACAAAGCCTTCTGATATAGTGGTAAGGGCTTCCCATCATTGGCTTCAACAGCTTTGTTTGTCAACATCCTATACAAAACAACGGAAATAGTTCAAAAGCTGAATCAGAACCGAATAGATTAGTCTCAAAAGCAAACCACACCACACATGCAGTGGAAAAAGTAAATGCTGATAAGAAAAAAAATAAAGCTCACGCTTCAGAATCAAACTGTTGGTCGTCATAACAAAAAAGGAAGCATCTTGAAACGTATAATCAAAGTCACACAAAGGATTGCAACGGCCCTCACCTGAATGATCCCAGTCGAGCAGTTGTGTATGTAGCTTGCCTGAGAAGTCCAGCAGACAGTCCCTGTCCAAAAATTTACAGGTGAGACAAAAGACTCGAAGAAAACTGAAAGAATATAATTCTAATTGGAACGTCAAACTGAATTTTTTAATTTAGAAAATCATCAAGATAAAGTCACTGTATCTATGTATGAATTATTATATGTCCAAGGTCCAATATTGAAATAATTTCAGAGGTTTTCCCTGACTTCGCCCTTGTCAACAAACAATTCAAAATGCCTCCTTCTAGAGCATATCAGGATCAATTAGCAATGATTCAAAGCGCTTCTTTTTACACTATTTCGGAAACCCAATGACTCAATCGTGTGAATATCAGGATTTCCAATCCCACAAATGAGCAAAACTGTAGTTTCAACTAGTACCAAATCAACAAGCACATCTCATCCCATGAAACAGCACTAAATTCCAATATTTTGGGAATTCAAATCAATAAATAATTCCATATGAACCATTAACAAAAATGTAGAAAATCTTGAAACGATGTTAAAAGTAAAAAAAAAAGATCCAGCATCTATAGAACAAGTCTCAGAAGCAAATAACAGATCCAATATCTGAAAAGCTAGATCAACTTTTTTAAAAAATAAAAACTTGATTGGAGTTGCAGAAAAGAACCTTGTAAAAGGCACGAACACCCTCCTCCTTAAGCATGTTCTTGGTGATAGTTCCTGCCGATCCCTGGCCCAGTTGGATTCTCACCTAAACCAAACCAACACAAATCCCAGATCTAAAAACCCATACCTGGCCTTAAAAGTAACATTTTTATTTTCAAATTAGAAAGGAAAACACTTGAAGATCAGATCTACTAAAAGATGAGTGAAAAAAAATACCTTGACCATATCGATGGGTTGGATGACACATGTAGCAAGCATACCAGAGGCACCGCCATTGACAAAAGGTTTAACCTTTGGCCA